TAATACTTTACTTAGTCTTCTCAAGCTGCCCTTTAAAATCTTCTGTTCAGCTCTTTTACTTCAGCATTTCTTCCTTTCGTTTTAGTGACTACGTTTAAGAGCAATTTTCTGAGTCTCTTCTGACATTCATATTTTTCTTTTTTTCTTTCCTGTCTTTTTAATAGCCTCTTGCTTTCTTCATACATGATTTCCTTGATGTCATTCCACAACTCGTCCGGTCTTCAGTCAATAGTGTTCAATGTGTCAAATCTATTCTTGAGATAGTCTCTAAATTCAGGTGGGATACACTCAAGGTCATACTCTGGCTCTCATGGACTTTATTCTAATTTTCTTCAACTTCAACTTGAACTTGTATATGAGCAACTGATGGTCTGTTCCATAGTTGGCCCCTGGCCTTGTTTGGACTGATGATATTGGGCTTTTCCATAGTCTCCACAGATGTAGCCAATTTGATTCCTGTGCATTCCATCCAGTGAGGTCCACATGTGTAGTTGCCATTTATTTTGTTGAAAAAAGGTATTTGCAATAAAGAAGTGATTGGTCTTGTAAAACTATCATGAGATCTCTGGTGGTGTTTCTATCACCAAGGCCATATCTTCCAATTACCAATCCTTCTTCTTTGTCTCCAACTTTCATATTCCAATCACAAGTAATTATCAATGTGTCTTGATTACATGTTTGATCAATTTCAGACTGCAGAAGTCAGTAAAAATCTTCAATTTCTTCACCTTTGGCCTTAGTGGTTGGTGCATAAATTTGAATAATAGTTGTATTAACTGGTCTTCCCTGTAGGTGTATGGATATTATTCTATCACTGACAGCACTGTACTTCAGGATAGATCTTGAAATGTTCTTTGTGATGATGAACATGATGCCATTCCTCTTCAATTTGTCATTCCCGGTATAGTAGACCATATGACTGTCTAATTCAAAACGGCCAATACCAGTCCATTTCAGCTCACTAATGCCTAGGATATCGATCTTTATAAGTTCAGTTTCATTTCTGACAACTTCCAATTTTCCGAGATTCATACTTAAGATGTTCCACGTTCCGATTATTAATGGATGTTTACAGCTTTTTCTTCTCATTTGGAGTCATGCCACATTAGCAAATGAAGGTCTCAAAAGCTTGACTCCATCCACATCATTAAGGTCAACTCTACTTTGAAGAGGCAGCTCTTCCCCAGTTGTACTTTGAGTACCTTCCAACCTGAGAGGCTCATCTTCTGGCACTGTATCAGACAAATGTTCTGCTGTTATTCATAAGGTTTTCACTAGCCAATTTTTTCAGAAGTAGGCTAACAGTTCCTTCTTCCTAGTCTATCTTAGTCTGAAAGCTCTGCTGAAACCTGTCCACCAAGGGTGACCCTGCTGGTATTTGAAATACCAGTGGCAATGCTTCCGATATCACAGCAACACACAAGCCACCACAGTATGACAAACTGACAGACACAACACACTCACCAGAATGGCTAAAATTAAAGACTGATGATCCAAAGCATTGATGAGACTTTGGAGCAAATGGAGCTCTCATATAGTGCTGGTGTGAATGCAAAATTGTACAGCCACTTTAGGGGACAGTTTGGAAATTTCTTATAAAGTTAAGGATACACTTTTCATACAAGCCACCAATTCCACTCCTAGGTATTTACTCAAAGGAACTAAAAACCACACAGCTGGATGGTGCCCGACTACCACCACTGACTGCTCTGACCAGGATCACAGAGCAGGGTTCTGGACAGGGCTGGAGAAGGATGGAGAACAAAATTCTAACTCACAAAAAAAAGACCAGATTTACTGGCCTAAAGGAGACTGGAGAAACGCTGAGAGTATG